GGATAGCTTTAGTGTCAACTTGACACACCTGGGTTGAGGGAGCCTCAACTGGGGAATTATCTATATTGGACTGGCCTGTGGCCATGTCTGAGAGGCATCTTCTTGATGAGTGATGTGGGAGGGCCCAGCCCACTGTGGGTGGTACCATCCCTGGGCAGCTGGGCCTATGTTGCATAAGAAAGCAGGCTGAGCAGGGGCCAGGAGAACAAGCCAGTAAGCAGCGTTCCTCCATGGCCTGTGCTCCAGCTCCTGCCTCCAGGTTCCTGCCCTGAGTTCCTACCTTGGGCTCCCTGATGTACTGCGACCTGGGAGTTGTAAGCTGAATAAACCATTTCTTCCCCAAGTTGGTAGTGGTCAGAGTGTTTTGTCACAGCAATGAAGAAATAAACTAAGACAGTTCTTAAATACATTTACTACTTAATGGTTTTGAAACAACTGTTTAATTTTTAAATTTTTTTGAAAGCTTGCTAATAACCTTTTGTTCAGAATTTAGTAGATTGTTTAATGCAGGACATCAAATATATAATGAAAGATGCTTGAAATGCTTTTGTTATTTCAGGCAAATCAAATTAAACTATCAAACTACATACAAGAGAACCTTAGTCCTTTTTGTTTTTGTCTAAATATGTTAGTTCAGTGATGTCTTGGTGAACTGTGAGTGAACTGTATTGATTTTTCTAATAAATCCTTAGAGACTTTCACACAGCATGAGGGCTGTTGGCATTTTGAAAAAGGTTAATAGGTAGATGTGTCCTAGTTTGTTCTTCATTGTTGTGACAAAATACTCTGACTACTATCAACTTGGGAAGGAAAAGGTTTATTTATCTTACATCTCCCAGGTCACATTTCATCAGAGAGCCCAAGTTAGGAACTCAGGGCAGGAACCTGGAGGCAGGAGCTGGAGCACAGGCCATGGAGGAATGCTGCTTACTGGCTTGGTTCCCTGGCCCCTGCTCAGCCTGCTTTCTTATGCAACACAGGCCCACCTGCCCAGGGTGGCACCATCCATAGTGGGCTGGGCCCTCCCACACCACTCATCAAGAAGATGCCCTCAGACATGGCCACAGGCCAGTCCAATAGAGGAAATTACCCGATTGAGGCTCCCTCAACCCAGGTGTGTCACACTGACACGAAAGCTATCCAGCACAACTGATCCCTTGTCAACTTGATACACAAACACATCACTATTAAACCATAACCTTTCCAATTCTTGTCCCCAAGATATGATGTTAACATTAATATCACAACATAAGACAGTACAACCTTAAAAACCCCACAGTCCTTAAAAAATCCAAAGACTTAAAAATATGTAGTCTCTTACTAGTCTCTTAACCGTGGGTGGACTTCTGTAAAATCCAAAACAAGTACTGTCTTATTTCAAAGGGAAGAATCAGGCACACCTAAGCAAAACCAAAGTCCAGCAAAGTACCTCAAGGCTTGACTCTGCAGCCCACAGCACACTTAGTTCATCTCGCAGACCCAGGCCAGCTCCATTCCACACCTGCCGCTGTCCTTGGTGGTCATTCCATGGTCCTGGCATCACCAAAAGCTGGGGTCTCCACTGAAACTGAGGCTACGCCTTCATCAACGACCTCTTCTTGCTTCTTGGGGTGCAAAGGCCTCAGATTCTCTCCATGACCCCTTCAATCCTGGGGTCTTCACTGCAACTGAAGATGCACTTTCACCTATGGCCTTTCCTGGCCTCTCAGAGTGTTAAGCCTCAGCTGCTCTCTGTGGCCCCTTCACACTTTCAACACCAGAACCATGCAGGAGACTCTTACACATTACCAAGTCCTGCTTCCGGCTAGAGATGGAGGTTTGGGTCCCCTCTGTGTGCTGATCCTGAGGAAATACCTCACAGAAGATTTCACCACAGTGATGCTGGTTTCTTGTTACTTACAGCTGATTTTTCAGCCCCAGTAAAGCAAAGGTTTTACTTCAGGTTCTTGTCTCTTCTTAATCAAAGCTGATTCTTCAGCCCCAACGGACCAGAACCCACAGATTCTCAATGCAAAATCTCACACAAACAGCCCTGATAGTCTCCACTTCCCTTTGAAGCTTCACAAGCCAGGCTCCCATCATCTACAACTCTTTTCAGCCTAACTGTTCCAAGCTCCACAGCAACAAATTCTGAGCACACAATGGCTTTTCCAGCCCAAAGTTCCAAACACATCCACAGTTCTCCCAAAAATACCAAGGTCAGGTCTGTCACAGCAATATCCCACTCTCTGGTACCAATTTCTGTCCTAGTTTGTTCTTCATTGCTGTGACAGAATACTCCGACTACTATCAACTTGGGGAAGAAAAGGTTTATTTATCTTACATCTCCCAGGTCACAATTCATCAGAGAGCCCAAGTGAGGAACTCAGGGCAGGAACCTGGAGGCAGGAGCTGGAGCACAGGCCATGGAGGATCACTGCTTACTGGCTTGCTCCCCTGGCCCCTGCTCAGCCCGCTTTTTTATGCAACACAGGCCCACCTGCCCGGGGTGGCACCACCCATAGTGGGCTGGGCCCTCCCATATCACTCATCAAGAAGATGCCCCTCAGACATGGCCACAGGCCAGTCCAATAGAGGCAATTCCCCATTTGAGGCTCCCTCAACCCAGGTGTGTCACGTTGACACTAAAGCTATCCAGCACAAGATGCATACATGTTTTTCTTTTGTTTTTCCAACTTGTTTGTGAACATAAATAAATATGCCATTTTATTAAATACACAGCAATTTTTTAAGACAAAAATTATTTTATGTGTATGAGTGTTCTGCCTGTATATCTGTAAGTGCATCAATGCATGCAATGCCCATGTAAGTCAGAAGAGGGCGCTGGATCTTCTAGAACTCAAGTTACAGACAGTTGTTAGCCACCATGTGAGGGTACTGGGAACTGAATCTGGGTCATCTGTAAGAGCAGCCAGTGCTCTTAACCACTGAGCCATCTCTTCAGCCCCATTTCAAGCTATGTTGATAAGCTGAAGTGACCAGCTAAATAAAATGAGATGACAAGAAAAAGAATGGGAAGTTCAGAATTTAGAATAAAAACAAAAATAAAAATGCAAACAAAATATAAGTTCTTCAAATGAGAACTGTCAATATGTTAGCTGTTTCACAAGAGCCACTGTATAAAGTGACTGTCAGAAGCTACCCCTCTGTATTAGAGCTGCACCCAGGAGAGGAAGGAATTAAGATTTTGTACTCAGCAGATTACATGCATGTACTTCATCTATTGCTGTGTAACAAATCATCCAAAACAGTAAACGTTTATTAATCCAGAGTTTCTGTGTGTCAGAAATCTTGGTACAGCTTAGTAGGGAACCTTAGCAATAAAGTCTCTACTAGGAGGGAATCATAATATGGGGAGATTCTTGGGGGGCTCATCTGAAAGCGTAACAGATGCAGGGCCAGTTCTCAAGCTCTCTCACATAGTTGCTGGCTAGATTTAGTTTCTTGTGGGCTGTTGAACTGTGAGTATTACTTCCTCACTGACTGCTAATGAGATGCTTCTTGCTTCTTAGCACACAGACTTCTCCACAAGACAGCTGACATCATCAGACATACACACTAAGGAGCAGGAAGGTGAGCACCATGGAAGCCACAGTCTCTCTGCAACCTAATCTTGGAAGTCATTCTAGGTCGAGCTCACACTCTGGGGGGCTCAAAGGGAAGAGAACAATCACTAGGAACCATCTTAAAGGCCACTTGTCACATCAAGTCATGCTTTGAAACGGTTGTAAAGGTATAATACAAGATCCCAATTCTGTGAATAAGACAAACATGTTTTTACAGAACAAAAGCTCAGATCATGAAAAGTAGTTGAGACATAATGCATAAATGCTTAAGTTGGGAAGCTGGAGAGATGGCTCAGCACTTAAGAGCACTGTTTGCTCTTACAGAGGACCTCAGGGGAGCTGACACCCTCTTCTGGTCCTGTACTCACTGCACGCAGGTGGTACACTTACATACACACAGGCAAACCACTCATATACTAAACAAACAAACAATTTAAATGCTTAGGTTGGAAAAGAAGTGAAAACAGAATACTGACGGGAAAGGGAATGGAATAGGATCTTCAATAGCTGTTTAAAATAACTGAAAGGCTGTCATGAAGATACAGTTGGTACTCAGTTTTGTAGTTCCAATAGGCTGAGCAAAAACCAGAAGGGAACATTCTAATACTCCTTATACAACAATTTAATGAACTGTTTACTCATCTGTATCCTCCACATGAGTACTAGCTACTTTAGATAGATTATTATGTCTTATTCACTATTACAATCCTGAGCTAATGAAGCAACAATAAAAATTTGGTGAATGATATATGAAAAAAATTAAAGACTTAAAATCATAGGGAAATTAATTTAGCTCCAAATCTTAAAGAATTTAATGCTTAGATGCTTCCACAATCAGAATGGGACACTATGTCTCTGGAGGTGGTAGAGGGTAACCACACAGAATGAATGGGGTCAAGATATCTGGACAAAATGACCTCTAGGTCTTAAAGGCTAATGATCTGATTCCATGACACTGCTGTCTGGATAAAGATCCCTTCTAGACACTGCTCCAGACAGACAGAATGAAGCTGGCCAATAAGCCAACACTGAAGACACACTAAAAACTGGAATTCCATGCCTACTGAACATTTTTAAAGCATTTTACCAAGCATGAAACGAAGCTCATCTGAAGCAACTTTGGGCTGAGTCCACCTTCCTGAGCCTGCTGTGCCATTTCCAGACAGCGTAACATAGGACAACAAAGGCTTAGGAGTCACACTGGCCTGGTCTGGTTCTGGACTGGACTAGCTGTAGGACCAAAGGCTTACAAGTAACCCAACTCTTCTAGTCTCAGCAACTTAATTCACGGACTGAGATAATTCTAACCTCACAGGGTTTCTTTTTTTTGTTGTTTGTTTTTCCATGTAATGTATTCTCACCGGCAGTGAAAACCATCAGGAAATGGTTTTAAAGTCAGGTAATAAGTTCCACTCCTTCCACTCCCTCCCTTACCTTGATAGTTTTTCACAGGAGTCATCTTGTTATAATCTTCAGATAAAATAAATTCCTGTAAAACAAAAGTAGTAAGCTGAAGGAAATTTTTATTATTATTTTTATGTGTATGAGTATATTGCCTGCATGTGTGTCAGTTCACCCATATGGTGCAATGCCCATGGAGATCAGAAGAGGATGTCAGAGCCCCAGGTACTGGAGTTATGGATGATTGATAGCCACCATGTGGATGCTGGGAACAGAATCCAGGTCCTCTATAAGAGCAGCTAGTGTTCTTAACTGCTGAGCCATCCCTCCAATCCCACAAAAGGAAAATTTTTAAATGAACAAATATGCTTTGGTTAAATAACAGAATTAACAGGCTAAATAACAGGCTAAATAACAGAATTACATCTAACATTAGTGGTTTGTCAATCAACTTGGTATTTTTATACTGTCTAACAGTAACCCAATAGTGATTCAATGCAATATCACAAGTTTTACCTTACAACTCTTTAAGCACCTGTCCTCTTGTTCAGGGAGGCCATGGAGACCCCACCAGATGGACCTGAACCAGTCTCCAGTCTACAAAGAGGACGGTCAACACAGAGGAAACATTTCCTCCATGCTTCCAAGTGAAGCCAGCCACGACCAAGCAGGACCTTTGACTTATCTTCACAGAGACGGAGCTGGTAAAAGAAAGGAGCCAGGGGCTCCTCCAAAGCCCATGTGACCCCTGAGGAACAGATCCTCAAACAACCTTAAGAGTAAAAATAAATTGATTTGGGCCAACTGTATGGTCTTAAACACCCAAAAAGAAAGTATAGCCAAGGTTTAAAAAATGATCAGTACATTTCTTTAAGAGTCCATGTGTATAGCTAAAGGCCACATAACAAGAAACAATGCCAGACAGGAGATACCTTCCTTTGAACTGTTGGCCAGGGTAACCCAAAAGACTCCCAGACAGTAACCCAGCATAGAACTGGGAAAATGAACATCAGACCCCAATCTTAATTAAAAGGAATGTTGGCAACTGAATGTTGCTAGATGAGGAACAGCGATTTTCCTAAAATAAGGGACTCTAGCTAGGCTGACTAGACTCACTGAATGTACTTGCACTGGGGAATGGCTGGGGACACTGACAACACAGTGGACAGTAACAGGGATGATAGAGTATATGAGCTCCAGTCGGGGGGGCTATGGGAAGGTGCCATTTGGGATATGGGTATAAAGATGAATACGAATGTCTGGGATGTTCTATATGAAATACACAGAAAATAAATAAATAATAAAAATTTTTAAAAATCAAATCATATTCAGAGTGTCAATAGTGGTCAATTTTGAACACTAAGCAGATTCAAAGTATTTTTCTATCATTTATGTCACAACTGAACATTTTAAGGCTTTAGCCAGTGAGCAAATGGGTAGCAGTTCCCTAGTGAGAAATTCAATTTTTAGTCTACTGTTAACATTAGTAATTTATTTCCCCTTACAGCAAGCTTCTTGAGGTTACCCCTGTCTATTTTCTAGGATATTCTCTAGGATATACGGCACAGTGCCTTGGCACAGTGAGTAATCAATAAATGCTGGTTGGTTATGTGGAAGGCACCTCCAAATCAATGAGTCTAAGTGGCAATTGTACTAAAGAAATTAGTTTCTGTACAACACACTCTGTACAGACTTTGTGGGGACACATAAAAGATGGACATGTGGAGATCCCCATAAGCATCTCTGAAGACATCAACCAGGTGTTTACAAGGCCCAGTCAGGTTGGATTCCTTTAGCTTCTTTCAAATGCAAACTATCTACATATTCTTAAAAGGTAAACTGTCAAGCACCAGGTGAGCTGCAAAGTGTAATATAAATCAATGCTTTCATCTGAACTTAAAAACAGAAGAATGAATCTTTTCACAACATTTGGAAGCATTCAAATTGTTCTCTGAGGACTTGCAGAGGAGAGTGGGAAGACAGACATGTAAACTTTTTTGCTACTGGGTGCTTTACTGAGTTCATATAGATCGTGTAGTTTTTTTTTTTTTTTTTAGAAAAAAATAATTACTGTATTATTTCTGTGTCAAATGCACAAAGGTAAAAGAGGAGGAGGCATGACAGAACACACCAGGCAATCACACTCCTCAGGCTCTGCTTTTCTGTCCCCACCCCCAGAAGAAGCTTATCTGCAAATGGATTTTCTTCACAATGATTTTCTTGGCAATAACATTAAACTTGTCAGTTTTAAAACTCATATCATTATTCCTCCAAAGAATGACACCGTATCCATTTCTTATTTCTGAAGAGTTAAACTCACAACTGAACAAAGTTTTACAGAAGTACACAGTATGTCTGGAAGAACAGTGAAGAACTTGCTGGAAAAACTTCACACAGACCTAAGCAATCACTGTCAACTTTTCATCTCAGGAAGGAGGATTCCGCCCTGACCTGCACTCCAGAGCTCTTCAAATATCTTAATATAAACACACATGAGAAAGTCTGCTGAAGACAACTGATAATTGTGCAAGTGTTTACTGAGTTCACTTTGTTCATGTTAAATATATTGAAATGGTTCTCTGGCTTGGGAAATAGAGACCTTAGTTTAGCCTTTTGGAACAAGGAAGGTATTAAAAAAAGAATTTGATCCAGGTTTTCACTTAGGATTTAACACACACACACACACACACACACACTCCACAAAATAGAAAATTACCAGTTCATTGTACTAGTAAACTTAATTTTTCATTAATTTCTCTTCCTATGATAATATAAACATATAGTCGGGGAGAAAATATGGGAGATCTTATCACTTTTCATTGTTATTTTTTGACCATAGAAACCACATGCTATTCTAAATATCTGAAGGCTAAATACTGAGAAGGCTCAGCGGTAAGAGCACCAGCTGTTCTTGCAGAGGACTCAGATTTGATTCCCAGCATCTACATGGTGACTAACAACCATCTGTAACTCCAGTTCCAGGGGACTCTGACGCCCTCTTTTGACCTCCGCGGACACTGCACAACACGGGTGCACTTACACGCATGCAGGAAATACACTCATACACATAAAAAAATAATAAAAATAAAAATATTATAAAATTAAAAGTCCCTTTGTGTTCCATTTCTTAGAGATAAGTATTAGTCACAATAAAATACAATGTGAAGACCAATCAGTAGTGATTTCCTATTTTAATAAATCATGCATGCCATCCCATACTCACCAATTTCATTCTTTTATGAGTGCATACTTTTATAATGTCCTTTCACTGATTAATGCTTATACTGTTTCCATTTTATCAAATTCTTACATTGAATATATTATGCTTTTATTTTTTTAATTTTTCATTCATGTGTATCTATGTGTGTGTCCATGAGGATCAGAGGGATCTAGCTGTATATCCCCTTGAGCTAGAGTTACAGGCAGTTGTGAGCTGTCTGATGTTGTGTGCAGGGAACTGAACTCAAGTCCTCTAGAAGAGCAGGAAGCCCTCTTAACTGCTGAGTCATCTCTCCAGTCCCTGAGTGTATCATACTTTTATATAACTAACATTAATTCTATAAAAGTCCTACAAGGAGAAGTGTTGAATCAGAGGGTAAATCCATTTAAGACATGGGAAGCATTGCAAATTAGAATTTTACAAATATTTAATCTATTACCATTCACAAACAGTGTGAAAGTCTGGCTAAAGTTTAATTTCCTTAGGATTGACCAATCAAAATTAGATTTAAAGTGTATATATTCAAAATAATTTTTTGGGAAAAAAATCTATCCTTTTAGTCTTTCTACACTGCCTTCTTTTCATTCAACCATTCTACCTATCATCTAACTAATTTTAATGCTCATTATAATATACCAAACTATACAGGACATTTAAGGGAGAAGTTAGTAACTGTCACCATCTTCAATCTTATCTCTTTCAAGTAGCCAGCTTTCAACTGTCTAAGGTATCCTTCTATACCTTGTAAAAAATTTTCAATACTTTTACAAACATATGTGAACACATATATACATTTAGGGTTTTCTTTCATTTGGTAAGGTTGTAGAAAAATAGGATTCATTTATAGATATTCTTTTGTGACTTGGTGTTTTCACTTAAAATTTATCAGCACTAGTTTTCCTGGATTCACTTAGGTCTAAACTTATTCTTTCTGAGGGCTCTACAAGACTTCATAAAATGGATGTACCACATGTTTTTCAAGTACTTCACTCTTTTTAAATATATATATATATATACTTTTTAAAATATTTTATTGCTTTTTATTTTTATGTGTATGTGTGTATTGTCTGCATATAGGTAAATGCACCTGTGTCCTGCAATAGCTGTGGAGGACAGAAAAGGCTGTCAGATCCCCTAGAACTGGAGTTACAGACAGTTGTTAGATGCCATGTGGGTGCTGGGATTTCAACCTGGGTCTTCTGCTAGAACAGCCAGTGTTCTTAACCACTGAGCCATCTCTCCAGCCCCAAGTACTTCACTCTTAAATGGACATTCCACTTGTCTGCTACTTTTCACTAGGACAACACAGCAGGAACAGCTTTTGTACGCATACTCTTATGAACTAATGCATATAGAAAAAAGATTGCTCACTCAAGATTCAACACTGCCAAATTCCTCTTCATGAAGCATATACAATCATTCATTCTTGTATCCCCTTCATATGGCAGTATTATTTCCTCACATTCCATTAACAATACATGCTAATCTTTTCAATTTTTGTCAAACTAATGTACAAGAAAATGGTATCTGGTTGAGGTTTAATGTGCATTACCGTTTATATGCTAGAGTATTTCTGGGTATGTTCACTTGGCACTTTCATTTCCTCTATGAAATTTGCATTCAGATTTTGCTTTAGAATGGTTCCCTGAAAGAAAAAACAAAACAAAACAAAAAAACTGGCTCTGAGGCAAAGCTTTAAACTGAAAACTTGATGTGGAGGTGGAGTCTCAACAAAGAGCAACACGAAAAGATGCATGGTACATCACTACCATGCTGTCCCTAGTTTCATGGAGGCCAGCCAGTTCTCTAGCACACAGGAAGTCTGTGGACAGACAGAAGTATCAGGTTAGAAAGAGTACAGGAAGGAA